AAAGTTTGTGGAATGAAACTAACAATGCAGATTAAAACCTTTTTGGCTGAAAAAATAACAAAGGAGAAGGAGTAGTAAGGACACAGACAGTACTTGTATCCTTCCCATTGTTAAAAAATGGGCATGCCAGGAGCATCTGGAGAACATCTGTGAAAAAACTCCTGCTGCTGTACTGTTCTAAGGTTCTACAGCAAATTTAAGCAGATGATCTGGCATGAGGAATTTCTTGATTTCTGAAGAAATCACGAATGTCCTGCTTAACATGCCCATGTTAAAAATGACAAGCAACACCACTGCCTGTCCAGAGGGCCTTATGTCTTTCAAGGGGCATTTCTGCAGCAATACTTGTGAAGACCACATTGTATTAACGACACTAATACCTAGGTAGGCTTCCTGGCCCCTATCAACTGAGACTGCCCTTTGTAAATGGATAACCAACCACAACCTCAATAGCACCAAATGTTGAAAGACAGCGAAATACACCCTTTTCACACATCCACAAAGCCTATCCATAACTTAAATACTTCTTTGAGGGCTGAAGTGGAAATGAGGAATGTAGAATCATTGAACCACATCAGCTGGAGACCACCTCCGAAGGCTGCTAGTCCAACACCACACTCAAAGCAGTGTCATCCAGGACTGGTCACAAGTGCTATGCCTAATACTTGCAACTGAAAGCAAAACGGGCAAGCGTTGTACTTCCAGCAGTGCAGAAGTATAAAAACGTACATTGTGTAAATTCCTCAGTCTTTGAACCATATGCATTAAGACAGAGTGACTTTCAATACAGCTCAGAGAGGTCCTGGGTGACCACCACCGCGGAAATGAAATAATTTCCAGTATTTCCATGTCATAAGCTTTTCTTTCCAACTTTTGCATGCTCTGTGCACCTCTGACAGAACTGAGGCAGTGGTCATCTTTTGCAACTACAGTCTGTCTTTGCTGAGTCTAGAAGACCTGATTTTTGCTTGGTCACTTTATCTTTGGGTAGAAATAGCCATACTACATAGTGTTGCTAGGAAATCATGTCATCACAGGATCTCAAACCGGTTTGGGTTGGAAGGGACCTTAAAGCTCATCCAGTTCCAAACCCTGCCATGGGCAGGGACACCTTCCACTAGACCAGGTTGCTCCAAGCCCCATCCAACCTGGCCTTGGAATACTGCCAGGGATGGGGTAGCCACAGTTTCTCAGGGCAACCTGTGTCAGGGCCTCAGCACCCTCTCAGGGAAGAATTTCTGGCCTAAGAACTCATCTCAATCTCCTCTCTGCAAGTTTAAAGCTATTCCCATTGTCCTGTCCCTACAGGCCCTTTTCAAAAGCCCTTCTCCATCTTTCTTGTCAGCCCCTTTAGGCACTGGAAGGTTATGGTCATTTACCATAATTGTAACAGAATTAACAACAATACCTGAACTTCTGCTCCAGTGATGATACTGCCTGTTGCTCATCAAGATAAAAATCCACTTAAATATCAGCCAAACTCTATCAGTCAGCTGGGGTTGCTCAAAAAGGGAAATGGTGAAAGAACATAATGAACAAACAGCCAAGAGCAGCAGAAAGGTATTTACAAGTGGACTCCATGACCAAATCAGATGCTGTTATTTTAAGAACTATCACAGCAAAAACTCACTTGTCCACTTCAGGCAGAGCCTTAAACAGCACACAGTGCCTGAAAGTTTGACATATCTCAACTAGGAGGATTTCACATACTGCAAAGGTCTCCACTGGTAAGGGATTTAAGAATAAGCAATAGCCATTAAACATAAGCCTAACCTTTTTTTTGGCAGCCAGTGCAAAGGACACAAAATGAATAACATGATCCTGTCATCAAATATATTTATTTATTTTTCAATCAACAGGAAAAGAGGAATACCTAGAGACTCAGGGAGGTATACTGCAAGGTGGCATGCATGAAAGCAGTTACTTATCAAAGGGTAACATCTCAAAAATAATTGCAGAACCTAGAAATCTTTCAAAACTACTCAGCCTAAGCTTTGCTAAATTTCTTCATTACTTAGTTCATTAACTTCAAAAGAATTCCTCAGCAAACAAGATCCCTAAAAGAAATAAACCTGTTTTCTTAATGTGTCCACGCAATTAAGGCTTCTGTTTTCACAGGTTAAGAACAGAGTGACTGTGACACATTAAGTGATAATGTCAATTGCTTACTTCTCTAGGATACAGGCTGAACTTGCGAGATTTTTGAAATCAGATTATTTAGTTACATGGCATGTGGAAAAGGTAGGGGATAGGAATGAAGAACCATCCTGGAAAGAAACACCAGCCTCAAAGAAACAGCCCATTGCAGATGCTTATGGAGCACTAGGCGTGTTGTATGAATTAACTACATGTTCCGTTTCTTGCTGTGCTATATGACTGTATGTACTGATTAAATCTTTGCTTTTGGTAGAAAGGAAACCCTACGTATCCCATCATAGAATCACAGAATAGTTAGGGTTGGAAAGGACCTTAAGATCATCTAGTTCCAACTCCCTGCCGTGGGCAGGGACACCTCACACTAAACCATGTCACGCAAGGCACTGTCCAACCCAGCCTTGAACACTGCCAGGGATGAAGCATTCACAATTTCCTTGGGCAACCTTGTGCCAGTGCCTCACCACCATCACAGTAAAGAACTTCCTCCTTATATCTAATCTAAACTTCCCCTGTTTAAATTTTAACCCGTTACCCCTTGTTCTACCACTACAGTCCCTAATGAGGAGCCTCTCCCCAGCATCCTCAGAGGCCCCCTTCAGACACTGGAAGGCTGCTATGGGGTCTCCACGCAGCCTTCTCTTCTCCAGGCTGAACAGCCCCAACTTTCTCAGCCTGTCTTCATACGGGAGGTGCTCCAGTCCCCTGAGCATCCTCGTGGCCCTCCTATGGACTTCTTCCAACAGTTCCATGTCCTTTTTATGTGGAAGACATGGAACTGCACAGAATACTCCATGTGAGGTCTCACAAGAGCAGAGGGGCAGGATCACCTCCTTCAACCTGCTGGTCATGCACCTTTTGATGCAGGCCAGGATACAGTTGGCTTTCTGGCCTGCTAGTGCACACTGAAGCCAGCTCATGTTCATTTTCTCAACAACCAACATCCCCAAGTCCTTCTCCTCAGGGCTGCTCTGAATCTCTTCTCTGCCCAACCTGTAGCTGTGCCTGGGATTGCTCCCACCCAGGTGTAGGACCTTGCACTTGGCATGGTTAAACTTCATGAGGTTGGCATCAGCCCACCTCAGAAGCGTGTCAAGATCCCTCTGGATGGCATTCCTTCCTTCCAGCGTATCAACCGAACCACAAAGCTTGGTGTCATCGGCAAACTTGCTGGGGGCGCACTCAATCCCACTGTCTATGTCACCAACAAAGATGTTGAATGAGACTGGTCTGAACACTGATCCCTGAGGGACACGACTCATTACTGATCTCCAGCCGGTCATTGAGCCATTGACCACAACTCTTTGTGAGCAGCCATCCAGCCAGTTCTTTATCCACCGAGTGGTCCATCCATCAAATTGGTGTCTCTTCAATTTAGAGACAAGGATGTCGTGTGGGACAGTGTTGAACGCTTTGCACAAGTCCAGGTAGATGACGTCAACTGCTCTGCCCCCTTCCATCAGTTCTGTAGCCCCATCATAGAAGGCCATCAAATTGGTCAGGCAGGATTTCCACTTAGTGAAGCCAGGCTGGCTGTCACCAACCATCTCACTTTTTTTCATGTGCCTTAGCATGTGCTGTGGTTTAAACCCAGCCTGTCACTCAGAAACCACGCACGTGTTGTCTCACTCCACCGCCTTTCCCCTCCGCTCCTGGAGGGATGGGGAGGAGAATCAAAAGAATGTTAACTCCCACAGGTTGAGATAAGAGCAGTCCAGTAACTAAGGTATAACACAAACCACTACTGCTGCCACCAATAATAATAATGATAAGGAAAATAAGGGAAGAGAATACAACTGCTCACCACCCATGGACTGATACCCAGCATGATCGAGCAGTAATCTAGCCCTTTTGGGTAACTACCCCCAGTTTATATACCGGGCATGACATACAGTGTTATGAAATACCTCTTTGGCTAGTCTGGGTCACATGTCCTGTCTTTGCTTCCTCCTGGCTTCCCGTCTTCCCTGGCAGAGCATGAAACTCAGAAAGTCCTTGGTGAGAGTAAACATTACTGAGCAACAACTAAGAACATTGGTGTGTGATCAGCGCTGTTCCCAGGCCGAAAGTCAAAAACACAGCACTGCACCAGCTACTAAGAGGGAGAAAAATGACTGCTACTGCTGAACCCAGGACAGTATCCAGCCCTTATTCCATACCAGTCACATCATGCTCAGATCGCACATTTTCAATATACCATCACTCTTATCTCATATATATAAATATATATACATCCACAGAGAGAGAGAGATCATTACTTTGTGCATGGACCAATCCCTATAAAGCTGCTGAGTCCATCTGGTCCATGATGTCAGGCTCCATGTCCTGTAACAGTCTGCCCTGGGTTCACCAGTAGCAGTAATTTTTTCTTTTCCCTTGTTATTTACTTTATCATTATTATTATTCGTGGCAGCAGTAGTGGTTTGTGTTATACCTCAGTTACTGGACTGTTCTTATCTCAACCTGGGGGAGTCACATTCTCTCGATTCTCCTCCCCAACCCTCTGGGAGTGGGGGGAAGAAAAGGGGAGGGAGTGAGAGAGTGACTGCATGACTTATGGCTGCGCTTAAATCATTACAGTTGTTTTTGGGGCTCAACATTAGGCACATTGTGTTGAGATAATGACAGATCTGACCAGAGTGTGTCTAACTGTATTTGTGAAAAGCATTAATTGTTTTGGATTAACAGTCACTCGTCACAATGGTGATTTACTGGCTCTCAAAGCTGTTGCTCTTGATCTCAAAGTTCCAGCATGTCGTACCTTACTTACAGCCGGTATTTGCTGTGTCAGTGTTTATCAGGTCGAGGGCTTGGACTAAGGTTTTTTTTCATTGTACTTTATGGTAATGACTTGTAATACGGGCAGGCTCCGGCAGCAGGGCAGGACAGATGTGGCTGTGGACTTGTACCTGGCCGTCCTTCTGCTCTTCACCATCCTGGCCCTTGTCCTTGCCTCCTTCTTCGTAAGGCTGCGGGGAGCCGAGGGCAAGCAGACCTGGGGGCTGGCAGCGGCCAAAGAGGCCCGGGAGAGCAGCCCCGGGGACCAAGTGGCAGCGGGAGGGGGGCAGGAGGTTGGGATGGAGTGGCTGTTGGTGGAGGAGGTCGAGGAGGGGAAGGAGGCAACTGCCGAGCAGCGGGAGGAGCTGGCGGAGGAGCCGAGCTCTGCGGCCGAGCCCAGCCCTGCAGTGGCTAAAAGCATCCCCTGGCAGCTGCCTGCCAAGCCCCATGAGCCTGAGCCCCAGGAGCATGCAGAGAGCGAGGTACCACCTTTGGGAGACTCAGCTGGGCCCAGCCTCGGGCACCCGGGACAAGTGGAGGATGCAGGAGACCACGCAGCATTTCCCGACAAGGCAGGGGAGGAAGATCTGGACTCAGAAATAAGAGAAGCTGGGGGTGAGAGCTGGCAAGCACAGCAGCTACACCAGCCCCAGTGACAAGTACAGCAGCATCGTTTGAGAGTTCTGAAGGTTTTGAATGGCCTTTGGGCATCCCTGGGACCTGCCTGCTGATTGTCATGGGGATCAGCATGTTGGCACACATACAGACTGTGTTTTACCCATGACCGTTTTGTCTGATCTCAAAAGTTAAGCAGAGTCAGGTTTGGGTCTTGTCTAGGGTTAGACAACAATATAGGAGGGCCAAGAGGTTTTCCCCAAGGCTGGAGAGTCATGAGTGGCAGGGTGTGTGGGACAGTATGGGCAAGTATCTAGTCCACTGGGCCCCTCCAGTGCTTTGGAAGCGTTGGAGATGGAAGGCAACTGTATGGAGTCCCCAGCAACAAGCTGCAGAAACTGCTGAAGGACACAGTGAATTATTTTGAGCCTGGAGGCCCCATGACACTTTCAGCCGTCAGGGCAGAGATGCAACATAGAGATGGACTCATGACCAAGGGGTGGACTTAGCAGTGGACACTATTGCCCAGGTTATTCACAAGTGTGAATACTGCACACAGCCTCTTCTGCTCTGAAAGACTGTTACAAGAGATGGAGCCTGACATCATGGACTCAGCAGCTTTATAGGGATTGGTCCATGCACTAAGGAATGATCTCTCTCTCTCTTTCTCTCTCTCTCTGTGGATGTATATATATGCATATATATGACACAAGAGTGATAGTATGTTGAAAATGTGCAATCTGAGCATGATGTGAATGGTATGGAATAAGGGCTGGATACTGTCCTGGGATCAGCAGTAGCAGTCATTTTTTTCTCCTTCTTAGTAGCTGGTGCAGTGCTTTTTGACTTTCAGCCTGGGAACAATGCTGATAACACCAGTGTTTTTAGTTGTTGCTCAGTAATATTTACTCTGACCAAGGACTTTCTGAGTCTCAGGGACTCAGGGAGGACAGGAAGCTGGGAGGATGCAGAGACAGAACACCTGACCCAAACTAGCCAAAGAGATAGCACGTCATGCCCAGTATATAAACTGGGGGCAATTACCCAAAAGGGATAAATCACTGCTGGGGTTGGGGTGGGTATCAGTCCATGGGTGGTGATTGGTTGTATTCTCTTCCGTTGTTATTTCCCTTATCATTCTTATTGTTGGTGGTAGCAGCAGTGATTTGTGTTATACCTTAGTTACTGGACTGTTCTTATCTCAACCCATGGGAGTTACATTCTTTTGATTCTCCTCCCCATCTCTCTGGGAGTGGGGGGAGAAAACGGGGGAGTGAGTGAGCGGCTGTGTGGTTCTGAGTTACCAGCTGGGCTTAGACCACGACAGTCATTCATTTTCCCCTTTTTTAAAAATTGGGTTTATATTTCCCTTTTTCCAGTCCTCAGGAACTTCACCTGACTGCCATGATTTTTCAAATATGACGGACAGTGGTTCTCCAACTTCATTTGCCCGCTCCTTCAGGACCTGCGGATGGATTTAGATAGGCGATCTACGTCAGAGCTCACTTCCTGCAGAGTCTGCAGGATGCTGAACACATACAAAAATGTAGGTTTTGTGTGTTTTAGTGTAGGCACAGGCACTTTGTGTGTGTAAGGGGGACCTGCCCTGGAAAATTCACACTGCATTATAGGTATAACGACTGATCAAAATTTAAGTGACCCCAGAGCATATGTAAGTTGTAAAGTAAGACATTTACGAGATAACAACTCTTCCACTCTTTCAATTTAGTGAGGACACAACAAACCCAGAGGCACGATTGGGACCTGTTGGAGAGGGTCCAGAGGAAGCCACAGTGATGCTGTGAGGGCTGGAGCAGCTCTGCTCTGGAGACAGGCTGAGAGAGCTGTGTTTGCTCAGCCTGGAGAAGAGAAGGATCCAGGAGACCTTAGAGCAGCTGCTAGTGCCTAAAGGGGCTACAGGAAACCTGGAGAGGGGCTTTGGACAAGGGGCTGTAGGGACAGGACTGGCTTTAACAAGACTGAGGGGAGATTGAGATGAGATTTTAGGCAGAAGTTCTTCCCTGTGAGGATGCTGAGGTCCTGGCACAGGAAGCCCAGAGAAGCTGTGGCTGCCCCATCCCTGGCAGTGTTCAAGGCCAGGTTGGACGGGGCTTGGAGCAACCTGGTCTACTGGGAGGCATCCCTACTGTGGCAAGGGGTTGGAACAATATATGATGATATATATATATATACATATATGTACACACACATATGTATGTACACATACATGTATTTATATTATATACATACATCCCTGGCAGTGTTCAAGGCCAGGTTGGACAGGGCTTAGAACAACCTGGTCTAGTGCAAGGTGTCCCCGCCTGTGGCGGGGGTTGGAACTGGATGGGCTTTAAGGTCCCTTCCAATGCAAACCAGTCTTGGATTCTATGATTTTCGCTGATACTTTCAGAGGTGCACAGGCTTAGCAACCAGGAGCAATATTTCATTAAAGAACTAAAAACCTGTCACTTTGCTGGGGGATACATGGCAAGTTATTTCAGCACATCCTGATAGTGAACTAAGGATCCCTCCTGCTATATGATCTAACAGCAGAAGGGAATCATAGCCTCTGCAACCCTGGTGTGCAATCCCTGTAATCACTCACACTGTTTGACAGTAATAGGAGTAATGCAGCTGTATTTGTTGAAAGCTCTTAACCCACGGACGTTTTCTCAGCCCAGGCTAAAAGTACCATAACTAAATGCTCCCAAACAGTTGCTTAAGAGCCCAGAAAAATTTAAGGCTCCTCAATACATACAACTCTTGGTAAACGCACCTCAGTATCACTTTATTCAGTAGTTTCTCTCTAAGCAGTGTTATCTATTGAGAAAACTAACTAAAGTTTTAGTTGATAATAAAGAAAATATACCTCATTGTGTATTACAAATTCACTCTTGCCAAGTACTGATCAAAAAATACAGAGGAAGAGAATGAGAATCAACTGCTAAATAACAAAGTGTGTAAGAGTGCAGCTGAACACCATGCAGCTCATTAAGGAGAGAAACCCTGCTACCGACACCACCCACTACAAAAGGCAAAAAGCGCTTTTGATCTGTTTAGCATTCCGGTTTAGCCAGGAAGGATAAAACAAAGATTCAGCCAAGAGAGGAACAGGATGATTTCTCAATATTTAGATTAGTTCATGGCTGGGTATACTGTAAAACAGAGAAACTTGGGAAAGACTTCTGTCTGGATGCTTTGAAAATGAAGTTCAGGCTCTGAATCTGGTACAAGGTGGCTCCTGGGGCATGCTGATCAGCTATGGAGTTCACCAAGGCATAGCAAGAATAGAGGTCATGAGTCCGTTCTCCTCAGAGCTCACAATAAGGCGTATTTTTTTGCCTGTGCAGGGATGACAACAAGCTGATTAAAGATATAAAGGTTGTTCTCATGACCTAAATAATCCAAAGTAACATTGCACAATAAGTAAATTTACAAAAAGTAAGGATTTTAGTTAGTAAAATCCTCCACTTGTAAGTATTCAAATGTAACTCAGAATAAAAGGGCTGTAATAATTAATTTTTTGAGTTGTCAGCCACCTATGAATTGCAGGGCAGGGACTGGCATTTTTTCTGGGCAGCTTATTCCACACTCCTCCATGCCACCAAGTCCTCCATTATTTCTAACCCCTTTGGCAGCTCTCACTGCTGCAGGCAGCCAAGCAGACTTCAGAGGAACTACCAGATTTATCTTAATCCCAAAAGCTAAATTTTTTTCTTTACATTTTTCCTGAATTGTCATTTTGTTTTCCGTAGTAGGTGAGTTGAAAACAACATCCTTGAACCCACTGTGTATCCTGAGACCTGGTTCCCTGCCTGTTGACATTCATTTACTAGAGCTCCAAAATGATGTTTTCCTGACCTCCATGCATAGTTGTGCGGTCCTCATATCCTCCTACCTAAACCAAATAAATACTTCTTGAGGAGTCAAGCGGAGTGGCATGTCCTCACAGAAATGGGTTATTCTGCAACAGAATCATTAATTTTAAGATGATTATATATATTTATTGCAGAAATTAATTTTCATCATCTCTATGAAGGCTTTTATGTCTGACTTGGTCCCAAAGAAAAAAACATGTAAAGAATCTACAGGCGTATGAGCCCCTGCTAATTTTCTTCTGATGGTTTTCCCAAAAACACTGAAATCTAGCATCAAAACGTGCAACTGCTTGCAGTAGGTTAGAGGATATTATCCTTTTTTGGGTATCAGCTAAAAGAATATTACCCTTTGATCCTCTTAGATAAATTATAAAGGATACTTGCAGAGAGCAATCTGTACTGGCAGGAGGATGGACCAGAAGACCTGTGAGGTCTTTTCAGTCATCCACTGCAATCGCTCTGCAATCAAAGACAGGCAGTATCTGAGTACAAGAAGTTTGAACAATCTTATTCACCTTTGCCTTCAACAAGTATGCCTGCTTTCTGCTGAGCTAATTTCCTTTAACATTAGCTAACTGGCCAGGTTTATCATGCTTGAATCCCACCTGAAAGGTAAGAGGACTCATCTGACCTGTGAGAGACAGTCTTTTTTAGCACCGCAGGAGCACCACACAGCTCGTGGTGGGAGGAGAGATGCAAGCTGGTTCTTTCTTTTGGAAACTCTCACGGCTTACCTCACATTTTAGGAGTCTGATTGAACAATGCACATTTTGTTGGCATCACGTAATGGATGTTTGAAAGACACCAAAGCTAGATGGCCTCAATTTATTCCTTTTCTTTGATTAAGCCATACTTGTGAAATGCAGAACAAAGAGAGGGTATGGGAGAAAGAAGAGCCAGTGGTGCTCTTGAAGAGATGCAAAATTTCCCTTCAGTGATCATCTTTCTCCTCACTACTCAAGGAAAAGAAGACAAATACAACTCTTCCAGACTATCAGATGCAAAACATAACAGAAGAAGTCTTTACAGTCTCAGAATTTTAAAAAATTCCTAATTTAACTGCAGGGGCTAATTAGCCTATGCACAAATTATTGAATATTACCATAGTTTAAACCCTACATACTTT